CTTTCTCCTGCAGAGCGGCGTCCTCCTCCAGCGGACTGCTCCCTGCCCGTCCTGAGGAAGTGCGATGCCGTCGTTCCGGCTCATATGAGCCCCGTCCAGATGTGGGTGGAGACTCTGGAGAGCCGTGACAGCGAGCCGTTGGGTTTGGCTCACCTCCACCCAGATGTGTTCGCGGTGCCTCCGAGGTAAAGTTCACAAATGTTCACCTTGTTTCAGGAGAGTGTTCTCAGATCTTCATCGTCTGAGGTTTATGTTCCTGCTGTGAGCTGTGGACAAACTCTCTTCTATGGAAACAGTGTGTCTGTGTGTGTGTGTGTGTGTGTCTCCGTGTGTGTGTGTGTGTGTGTGTGTCTCCGTGTGTGTGTGTGTGTGTGTGTGTGTGTCTCCGTGTGTGTGTGGTGTGTGTGTGTGTGTGTGTGTGTGTGTGTGTGTGTGTCTCCGTGTGTGTGTGTGTGTGTGTGTGTGTGTGTCCCGTGTGTCTCCGTGTGTGTGTGTGTCTCCGTGTGTGTGTGTGTCTCCGTGTGTGTCTCCGTGTGTGTGTGTGTCTCCGTGTGTGTGTGTGTGTGTGTGTGTGTGTGTGTGTGTGTGTGTGTGTGTGTGTGTGTGTGTGTGTGTGTCTGTCCCCGTGTGTCTGTCTCCCGTGTGTGTGTGTCTCCGTGTGTGTGTGTCTCCGTGTGTGTGTGCTCCGTGTGTGTGTGTCTCCGTGTGTGTGTGTCTCCGTGTCTCCGTGTGTGTGTGTGTCTCCGTGTCTCTGTGTGTGTGTGTGTCTCCGTGTCTCCGTGTGTGTGTGTGTCTCCGTGTCTCCGTGTGTGTGTGTCTGTGTGTGTGTGTGTGTGTGTGTGTGTGTGTGTGTGTGTGTGTGTCTCCGTGTGTGTCTGTGTGTGTGTGTGTCTCCGTGTGTGTGTGTGTGTGTGTGTGTGTATCCTGTGTTTATCAGTGGTGTGTTTTCTCTCCTCTCAGGCTCGATATTCTCCACCAGGTTGAAACGTGGCAGAGAAATTTTAAAAGAATTGTAAGTGACAGATTTACTCTTTTTAAAATGTTTGTCAGATGTTTTTTTTTAATGTCCAAACTTCAACTTAAGAAGCCTTTATTTGTAGATAGGGTCGATACATCAGCATATAACATTCAGTGATTAGCAAGAGCCTGGCAACACTTCAGCATCAGACACAGGTCCTTTATCGTCATTTATTTATTTTAGTTCTACTGTTTTAATTGGGGTTAATTTGTTAAATCTTATGATTAAAACCAATAGTATGCACAGAAACAGAATAAAACTCATTAAAAGCGTCTCTGTTAGTGTTTCCAACAATCACCAACTCGGGTTTGGTAGAAATAAATCCTTAATTCACCGACTAAAGAAACAAACCACAGAGAGGCTGCGATACAACACAGGCAGAGGGAGAGAGACACCATGTGACTCTGTCTTTATATGGACGATAGCTAACCTTTTACTGATAGTTGTTTTGATCTCTCAGAGCTACGCCAACACAAAGGTCAGGTCAGAGGTGAGGGGTGGAGGCCGGAAACCATGGCGACAGAAAGGAGGTGGAAAAGCGCGTCACGGGAGCATCCGATCACCGTTATGGAGAGGAGGTGACGGCTCGCAGTTTTGTTGCTACACGTATTTTAAAAATGTTTAATGTAAATGAGGCTTTTGTTTCGTGGTCTGTCCTGTTTAATCCTGGTTCCTGGTGGTCAGTAGTATCGTCAGTAGACACAAACAGCTCTGACAGGTGACGTGTTTCTCTCAGGTGGCGTGGCTCACGGACCCAGAGGGCCCAACAGTTACTACTACATGTTACCCATGAAGATCCGAGTGCAAGGACTCAAAGTGGCTCTGAGCTCCAAGATGGCTCAGGTAACTGAAACCTGTCAGCAAATCATTTCTTTTGATTTATACTCGTGTCTGTTTAATCTTTCAGCGTTTCTCCTGCACTTTGAGTTAGTTTTCTTCCAGCTCTAGCTAAAAGTAATACTAATGTTTTTAAAAATGGCATTATTTTTAGATACTTGGATAATGTTAAATAAACTTTTGTAGGGCTTCAAGTAATGATTCTTCTTGCATATGATCTTTTATATTTGATCCGAACCGACAGTCCAAATCCCAAAAATAATCAATGCTGAGAAAGAAAAGCAGCAAAAACTCAAACCAGAGAATATTTTTTACTTTTGATTTAAAAATACTGAAGCGAATGTCACAATAACTGATTATTCTTCCTCATTGTTTCAACTGTTTTTCCTTTAAACCCCACTTTGAGCAGAATATTGTATGTTTTCCCAGGACTACCTTTACATCGTGGACTCTCTGAACATCCCCACACCTGACTCCCAGTACCTGCTGGACCTCATCAAACACCGACACTGGGGAGAGTCTGTGTTAATCGTCGATGTGTGAGTAACACGCTGATAAAAACTTGATTCCCTCTGTGGTTCGCTCGTGCTGAACTTGTTCTTGTTGTCTTCAGAGGTGAAGAGCTTCCTGAAAACATCCTTCAGGCAACAGCGAGTGTGAAGACGGTGAACATTATTCCAGCCATTGGTAAGTCTGCACTCAGCTCTTATGCACAGGGGAGGTTCCAGTTCATTCCAATACTGTTATATTCAAATACACTCAAATAACACAAACTACAGTAACTACAGCAGTAAACAGAGGTTTTTGTCTTTTCTCTGTCAGGTCTGAATGTCCACAGCCTGCTGAAACACGAAGCAGTCGTCCTCACGCTGAAAACCATCAAGTTCCTGGAGGACAAGCTGCTTTGGCACGACCAGCGATACACAGCCCTGTACCCGTTTAAACTGCCCTACTCCGATTTACCGTAGAAGACGAATGACCTGTAATATATATTCACTGACCACAGGGACACAAACGTTTTCTTTTGTTTTATTATGTTCAACAGAAAATGTCATCAATAAATAATGCCAAAAAACAAACACACACAATGCAAAGTTTTATTAAAAGTGTCTAAAAGGCGTGTGGAGCGCGAGAGGCTCAGCATCGATAGTTCAACTTGTACGGGAGGAGACCGTTGGCCAAATCGTTCCTCACCTCCCAGCGGAGGGAGGAGCGCTTCTTCTCTGTTGGCACGATGTAGGTGTTCGGCACGTAGACTCGTCGAGGTTTAGGCTGCAACACACAACAGAACAGGACTTCATCTACTGCAACACCAATGTGTCCACCCTAAAAGGCTAAAGGAAAGAGATTACCTTTTGCTGACATATCTACGGGCAGAGGATTTTTGGGTTTTTGACTTTCAGGGTTCCCACTCTTTTTAACAAATCACTTTCAAAGGACAGCACTTGCTTACAAATGCTCATATACAACCCATCAGTAACGGTTCATATCAAGTAGAATTTATTTTATCTTACAGGTGTTCATTGCATCTACAATTAACAACAAGACATCTGATGCTGTATGCATGAAGCTCTGGAAAAAATAGACATTTAAAGTGTCATACAGTTCATTCTACCAACACAATACACACCTAAGTTAATGAAGGCGCTCTGAGTGAGGGGCTAAAATACAAACATTTTCAGGATATTCAGTCATTTTTAATTCATTTCCAGGTGTTTCCATGACTGGAAAACTGGGAACCCTGACTCTTTAATGTGACATCTCAATATGAACAGAGATGTGTCGTTCATTCCACATTAAAAAAGACATTTTGGAACAAATGCATGTACTTATTGTACTCTTTTTAAACTTTCAAAGAAGTGCCAAGCAACGTGTGAGAGAAATACTTACCGGTGGAGGTTGGTATGCAAGTCGTTCCTGAAAACAAAAGACAAAACCAACAACTGAGGCCTTCTTGATTTTGAAGTGTGTAAGAAAACTTTAAAATATATACACAGTATCTCAGCATTTGGTTTAATAGAACAATAGAAAACACTGAATTGGTCAAAAAAAAAAAGCCTGTTAAGTCTGTAGGATTGTTAAAAATGATAAAAAAAAAAAAAACATAATAAAGACAGAATTGTACAAAAAGTTTCCTAAAGAGGAAATAATTCTCATTCATCTAATAAATGACAAAAGGGGTTCCTTGAGGAAAAAGGTTGGGAACCACTGGCATACTGGACCAGGGTACTGGACCAACTATTTTTGATGTCTAAAATCCTGCTGGTAGGCTCCGCCCCTCAAAATCAGATCTACAATGAGCACAGAGAAACTTTTGCAGATGAACATTAAAACATCCATCCAGTGTCAAACTCTACACATACATCATTCAAACGTCACGCTGTAGGAACAAGAACGGAGGGGGGGAAGATACCTTTATATCCAGGCGGAGAGTTCTCCTGTCATTCTCTCCTGGAAGTTTAAACATTTCCCAGAGCTGCTTGTACTGGAAATACCTGCCGAGACGAGACAATCACATGAGCGAATGAGCCAACTATCAGACGGTGTTCTTTAACAAAGTTCATTTGAGCAGAACTCTCTCCATATTCTATCCAGGTGAGAGTGTCTGGAGAAGTTCTCAGGGTTTAAAACTTACTTGGCCACTGGGTCAGTCTTCTTAATGGTTTGCTGAGTCATCACTGGTCGGATGACTGAAACATAAAAACATTTGACTAACTGTAAAACGGGGGTTTAAAAACAATAAGATGAACTGATACATGAGGTCGCTGTCGACTTACAGGACTTTGGTTTGGGCCTGACGCCAGCGTCGCTTTGAGCTCGAGTCTGTCCAAAATGAAGCGACAGTAAAGTGACTTTTAGTGATTAATCATTTAATCAGCGGGAACCACGGAGTAGCTACACGTGTCTGTTCTTTATTACACAAACAGGAAGCCACCACATTACCCACCATGCCTCTTATGTAGGATTCAAAGGCGCTCAAAGAGATCCCCTCCGTCCCCGAGCTCTGGGTGTCGTTCTGACTGGTTGCGTCTTCGTTCTCCGTCTCAAAGCCGCGTTGAGCCGCTGTCGGTAAGTGAAGCTCCGCCAGCCGCTCCTCCAGACAGCTCGCTGCGTCTGCAAAAGAAACAGCATCCGTCACACACTCAGACGTCAGGATTTTACTGGGTTCAGTTCTTTTAAGGCAAAGCATCAGAATTACTGTAGAAGGAGAGCACGGAGAAGGGACACTGATGAACGCCACAAGCCAAAAACGTGTTGGTCTAAGTTGTTCTATATACTGTAAGTGTTGCAGGAGTTTTAACCATTCCAAAAGATCTGTTTAGTTATCTAGCTGGTCAAGGTTTCAGACCGGTAAACGTCCAGTCATAAAGCTGCTCCTAATGTTTAGTCTGCTACTGCATCTGATATCTGCTCCTGTTCATTCCCTTCCTAATCTGTCCACGTAACCTCTCCACTTTACTCCATTATCAATAATCTGGCAGGAAATATTTCGGTTTCTGAATCAAACAAACCTGAAACAGACATAAACATTAAATATGTTAATACAGTTCACTTACAGGACCAGTGTGTGGGATTTAATGGTATCTAGCTGTGAGATACAACAACAACAACAACAACAACAACTTAGCAGCAGTTATTTTAGGTTCAGAGGAAGGTGAAGTTGATGATCATCCTTTGATTTTTGAAGTTTATTGGTAATCTCAGAGTTTAGAATGAAAACTGACACTTTTAACTGCGTTGGGTTTTTCGAATCACAAGATTTCCGACAGTTGAACATCCAGAAGCAGAACCGAATCATCAGTATGAGTAAACTACCTGAATCTTCCTCTCAGAAAGTCACTTTCAATTTTAGCTTTTAATAACCTGATATATATTAATGTCTCAAACTGGGAGACAGGAAACCATTTACCCGTCTTCGGTCTGAGGTTTCCTTCCCAGTCCTCACACATCTTGTCGTACGTCATCCTGCTGAAATCCACTTTAGAGTCGATAAACTTGATGTCTTTGTTGCTCGAAGACTCGTCGGCATCCTCCGACTCCACGTTATTCTGTTCTTTAAGATCTTGCGCTTCTTCGTATTGTCCAACATCGACCCCCGCACCGTCCAAACGTTTCTCATCCGATATGACTCTGTCCTCAACCTCAGCGACCTGCTGTTGTTCCTCCGATGTTTCGGACGCTGCATGTAGATCTTCAAGTTTCTCGTCTTTATCTTCTTCTGGTTTCGTGTCCACCTCTTCGCGCAGACCATCATCTCCACAGCACGCCACATTGGCTTCAGGCTCGGCGTCAGCTAACGCGCTCAGCTCCGCGGGTTCGATGTCAAACCCGCCGAAGCTGCAAAGTGAGCGGTCGTCTTCTTCGTCGTCGTCTCTTGTCTCAGACAGGTCTCCCCGACTGTCCTGATCGAACTCTGTTATGCTGTGGTCGTCTCTGTAGTCTCCCGCCTCCTGCTCCTCTGGTCTGTAGGTGCCGTAGCCGGAGGTCATCAGACTCGGAGCTGGACTATCACAACTGCTGCTACCGCTTTCTTCTTCATCTTCATCATCGCCGTCACCGTCGCTTCCACCTTCCAAACTCTCCCTGCTCACGTTGGCCTCGTTCAGTTCAGGTTTCTCCTCCTCTGAAGCCTCCCGGAGAGAGTCCTCCGCACCGCCAACAGGTTTGGAGTCTTGTTCGTCGATCACTTGCTCAATCTCCACCACCTCTTCCTCCTCTTCCTGAGGCTCCACATCAGACCAAAAAGAGGAGTTGAGACAATCCTTGTCATCGTCGCTCTCGTCGTCCCACTGAGTGTTGTACATTTTGTACATGGTGGCGGCTCGCACTCCGGCTGAGGTGTGTGCAGCGTGTGATCTGTGGAGGCAGAGGGCTTAAGGAACAGGCTAAGAGGATTAAGCTGATATCCAAGAGCTTCGGCCTCTTCTGCTGGGCCTCTTCTCTAAGCTGAAACGGCTCCGACTGCTGGTGACCAAAGGGATCACACCTCTGCTTCCTCGTGATAATTCCCTTTTACTCAATTCCACGATTTATTTTGTCCCACAACTGGATTCCAGTTTAGAGACGGGCGACAGAACCTCGACACAGGAATGTATTAGTTATGTTTTATTAGTGACTCAAACCACCAGGATACATCAGTATTTAGTTAATGTGTTTTAAATGTCTATATTGTTTTATTTCATGTTTTTAAAATCAGGGTTCCCACTCTTAAGAAGTCCTTTTCCAGTAGTTTTCTTGACAGTACAGGACACCATTAGCCCTCGTAGGTGGTCAGACTTTGTCTAAATTTAAAGGTTTTCCAGGTTATTACTGATAAGTTTTATGCCGCTTGCTGCAAAAAGAATCTTCTTGTGTGGCAATAAAGATTTAACATGAAACTTTTTGTGAAATGTGTTACTTGATGATTCATATGAAAATTAATATTATAGTGCTGGAACTGGTTTTACCCATTTTATGCTGGTTCAGTGAATGTCACGTTAAATGTTATATTTGATGTGTGAAGCCCTTTATAACCTGGCATTTGAAACATATTATTATTATTATTATTATTATCAGTAGTATTCTTATGTGTTTTATGTTACCTAAATCTTCACTGTAGACTGATTCATCGCAGACAAGAGATTGTCCTTTATGTTTCCTAGTTGGGGAAAAAACAAACAAACAAACAAACAAACAACAGTATTATTGTTCTCATGCGATGAGTCACTTGATAATAAATTCAATTATACTGTTGTCAGTTATACAATTTTCAATTTAAATCCACTTTATATCTGCGTCTTTATTAAAATGTGTCACACATTCTGTTTGTGTTTACTATGGTGGCCCTGAGGGTCAAAACATAACTGTGTGACTGTCATATGCACTTTATTAGGACATGTTCAGATCATTTATTACACTCAGCTTTTTTCAGGGAACTTGAACGCTTTTATAATTTGTCTGATGTTTTTATCAGTAATAATAATAATAATAATAATAAGAGAATCAATGTCTCATACACAGACTCAGCCACAGTGTAGTCGTGTGCACATGTGTGTGTCTGTGTATATGAGTCTTACCTCAGGACTTTCCTCTTGACGAAGCGTCTCAGCTGGGTGTCTGGACTGGATGTGTAGCTGTCTGTGAGCGGCCACTGGAGGGAGTCGTCGGGATCCGGCTCCCCCTGCAGGCTGCTGGGAGCATCTGGGGGCCGCTGGAGGTTCAGAGCCAGCGAGTGTTGGCCGTTCGACTCGCAGTGTCCCTGCTGTCGTCCGTAGTCTGTGTTCTGACAGGTGGTCAGCACCTGTGTTAAATACACAGAGTGAATCAATCACGTGTGTCTGATTAAAAGTTTTTTGTTTTCGTGTTTGTTCGTCCGATCTAAATGTTGGTTGACGATGAACCAAACTTTACAGAATGATCTGATACAGTCAGGTGATGCAAACTAACTTGAGAACCAAAAGAGCTGCTTTTATCTCTACTTAAAAACCCCCTCAACGCAGGCGGAGCTGATCGCCATAGTGACGCTATTCCAGCAGTTGGGAAACAACAACATTGTCACCTAAACTCTGTATTTACTGCCAGACTGACAACTTCACCGCTCACATTCACTCTTTACTCTCTCTCTCTTATTTTGAAAATTGTTTTACCTTTTTTTTTTTAAACAGAAACTATTTTTCATGTCTTCATTTCATCCCACCTGGATTATTGCAACAGCCTTTTTACCTGCCTGAACCAAAAACCTCTCGACCGACTCCAGACTGTACAGAACTCAACTTCCAGGGTTTTAACTAGAACCAAGAAATATGATCATTTGGCTCGCAGTGTGTTTTAGAATTGATTCGGAGATTTTACTGATTACTTTGTCTCGCTCTGGAACAATCTGCCCCGAGGAAAGGCTGAGTCAGTGATCCCTTCTTAAAACATACTTTTATCGGAGAGCTTTTCCTGATTTTACTAGAATTGTAATTAAGTATGAATTTAAATCTCTTTAAATTCATGATTTTATAACTTGTGCTTTGTAAATAAAGATTATTCTTATTGTTGTTGTTGTTGTTATGATCTCACTATGCATACACATTTGTCTCTTTGCGTTTGGTAAAAGGGGGGGAATCAGAATTGTACTAAATTTAAACCCAATCTCTGCCTGTGCTCAGTGTTGGTGTTGTTAACACTTACCTGTCTGCCAGGATCCACTTGTCCAGCATGTAAGCAAAACCCTTCACCAGCGTCTTCAAGGTAGCATTGACTAACTGAAGAAAAACACACAAATCACCAGTTCACATACAACACTGTCTTCTTGCTGCTGGCATGCTTCATTATTATTATTATTATTATTATCCCACAGTGAAGTAAGCGCCCTGACCTCTCTCTTTGGTGTAGGCAGGAGGACTCGGCTGCGATGTGGCGGCCTGAGGTTTGTTGGAGTTCACCCGAGTTGGTGAGGCCAGGCTTTTCCATTCTCCATGTTTGATCAGTTCGTCAAGATCTGACATTACACACAGACGAGTTCAAACATGGAAGTCACTCAGAGTTTTCAAACTGCCCTCAATCTTCTCTTCAGATGTAATCGTTCAGTTCATAAAAATCTGACAATGATAAGTTGACCAACATGCACAGCGTAAACATTTAGGGTCCCAAACAAGCTGAGAATAAAGTTGAAACACAATGTGGTAATCAGAGAGAGAGGGAGGATGTTTCAGAGTCTAACCTCGCTTGAATTCACGCAGCCTGTGTTGTGGGATGTTTCTGTAGCCCAGGGCGGCCAGTTGTTCTTGAATTTCCTCTTCGGAGAAATCCAGGTTGTCCATAATATTCTCAGCTTCAAGTCAAGGTGCTAGTAAAAACCCTGAAGGGAAAAACACATCACAATATAAAATACAACAACAGACAACAGGCCAGGGCTCATTTATTTAATATGGTGACAGAATATTAACAAAATCATCAATTTATACTTAATTTAAGCGATTTGATATGAGAGTATTTGATGTATTTTTAACTTATTTTATATCTTTTAAACATATTGATGCCACCTTTGAAATAAGAACTCAAACTTCAGCATGTTTGGATTTAACTTTAACACGAGTGGATTTCTCCAAAAGCTGTCTTAAATTAATAGTAACTAAAATAAAAAGAGAGCCGAATTCACCAGCAGACTATTTAAACTTTATGCCCAAAACTTTTGTTCAATAATTCAACTTTAATAATTGTTAATAAACAAAATCAATCATAAAGCGGCAGGTTTGTGAACGGGGTTCCGCGTGTCGGCTGACGTTACAGTCTCGGTGTTTGTTTACTTTTAAAACTATAAACACTGTGAGCTGCTAACGGACGTTTAACGGGTCTCACCTGAACGAGCGCCGGTTCCCTGGTGTCCCTCACGGTAACATCGCCCGTTAACGTTATCGGTGGTGGTCGCGTTTTATTGTTTGCAGGTTCGAAACCCACCGAGACAAACAACGGCCGTTAACGAGCTTTGAAAACGACGCCTCGGCCAACTTCCGGTGTTTTCTCTTCTTCGCCGTTCCAATTAGCGGGTTGCCAACCGAGCGCTCTAGCGCCGCCCCTCGGCGGAGGTGCGACAGGAGCGGTTAGGCACTGACAGCCAGAAATCATTTATTTATTTATTTATTTAAGGGAAAGTAACAAAAAAAAAGAAGTCAAAATTTAACTTAAGTAAAAGTAAAACAGTAATAATACAAAAGTAAATAATAATAAAATAAATTATTTTTGGTTGTGATTGAGGTTCTCACAGGACAGCAACACTACAACGATATGATGATCTTATACAGAATATCTTAGTATAAAGTAGTTAAAATGAGCTATTAAACATCTACAGTAGTACAATGGAACACACACATTAATGCAGCAGTAATATTAATCCAATATATAATAGTACAACATTTTATTGCACAATCAGCACTTTTACTTTTGATACTTTAAGATGATAATATCTTCTCTTACTTAAGTATGAAGTAAGTTGAATGCAGGACCTTTACTAGTGGAGCATTTTCACATTGTGAAAGCACTACTACATAAATTGTATCTCTTATACCTGACACATGTGTTCTAGAAATAAACCTTAAAAGGCATTAAACCTGTCAGAATAACTTTATATTAACCCCAGCCCCCTTTCCTTTTTAAAAACTCCTTTTTTAAACATTTAAAGAACAAAATTATGTTTCTAATGGAACAAGGAATAGGACAATATCAAACCATTTTCAGTCATATTTAATTTCCAGTGTACTTGCAGGCATTACATTTAATTTCCTTTCAGGGTAAAGGTAAGTTCACCCCACCCAGTCTGTGCAGGGAAGCCTTCCTCCTTCCTCCTCCTCCTCCTGCAGAGCCTCAGCGTCTCATGAATAATCAGGACTTTCTAACATCCTCCCCTTCCAGCAGGCGGTGGGGTTTCAGTTAGGGGGGAGACTGACAGGTGGACCGTCCGTGAGCCCCGTCTAATCTGGGAAAAAGGGACTTTTAGCGTCTTCCTCAGCCCTGGGAGGACCATGGCGCTCTCCAGGATCTGTCGAGAGTCTTTGCTGGTGATTTTACTGCAAATTGTGCTGATTTGCTCCGCTCAGGTGAGACATAGGTGCTCTTTCTTTTCTCTCCTTCAACTCCTGAGGAGGAAACACCAGTGTATATTCCTATAGGTGCTCAGTGAGGCATTTATAGAGAGCTTACTGCACTTTATAGTGTTTTATATCCTATGTTTCCTTATAATATAACAGAGAATCTGAGGAACTCTTTAAAGTAAATTCATATTTTAACTGTATGATTGGCAACTTTATCATATTTTATATTCCCAGTGGCACTTTTACTTATTATCTGTGACTTCCCTGTACCTTACTGTGCATTTAGTCCAGGTTTTCTTCCTGTTTTTCACCATGTTATCTCTAAACTAACTGTGGGTAATGAGATATACGTTAATGCACTTTAACTAAATCTTCTTGAACCCGTGTAACATTATTTGTGAGCTTAGTATAGTAGTATATTGGATTTTCTTTAAGAATGTATGTTGCTATTACACATTGTTATTGTATGAGCTATTTATAAAATCAGTTCGGTGCACGTGGACGGTGAAATTGGCTGAATTTAAAGTATGATTACAATTGTTTTATGAAGTTTATCTAAAAACTGGTCCAAACTGTGGTGTATTTATCCCAGCGTGCACACCTGGCACCAATAAGGTCCAGACAGCAGTAAACACATGCCGTTACTTAAGCGGTATAATGGGACTATAATGGGAAACCAGGTTTAGTTTCATGACCTTTCCCCTCACATCACCCAAACAATGAGAGTCTGTGTGAGCTGCCCTTCATGCCACAACCAGCAGCAGCAGCACTGGATGATATTTAGAGATTAATTTCAGTGAGAAAAAAAAGGTGAAAAATGATTTTTCGTGTTTGTTCTACAGAGGGGCCCGGTCGGTCCCAGAGGCCCCCGGGGCCGCCCGGGAGTGTCTGGCGTGCCCGGAGTGGACGGCATTGATGTGAGTCCGTAGTTTCATCTCTTCTCAGTTATAAACTTCAGGTTTCAGATGTGGGTCAGTTCAT